GATGTCGCGTTTCTGCTATATTGAGGAAACTTTCTAAGCCTATGTGTATATATATATATATATATATATATATATATCCAGTCGCAAATCTCATAGGGATGAACTTTTCTCGCTTATCGGACTCATCAAACTGTCAAAAAGTTTGATCAAATAATAAAGAACGCGCGCACGGCTCTTGTGAATCCCCAATTTCTCTCCCTCACGATCATTACATCTAACAAGACAGCAACGAGCCATGGCGAGCACACTTTTACCTTCGCCGCGATAAATACTTTGATGGACGATTATCCTAACACGATCGCCCGGCAAATTATACGTGTCCCGCTGGTATTTTCTCGATTAAAACTGTTCCTTGTACCTTTGCGATTAAATGTCGCATTTATTCGTTAAATAATTTAAATAATTCCACCAATATTCAGCGCGTTGATCCACCCGTAAGATGTAAGTACACGGGCAAAAATTTGCAGTAAGGAATACTGCAGACACTTAAAAAATACTCCTGCAGTCGTAGAGAAAATTTTCAAGGTTTAAGAAATTAGCTAACAAGTAACCCAAAATTTACACTCCGATTTCTTTCTAATTTAGTACAAATGTAGTACAAAAAATATTTAAGTCATATTTTTTTCATTTTGACCCACTTTGGGTTTCACGTGCAGTTTATAGCTTTTTAATGTTTTTATTCTTATCATCAACAAGTGCAACAAAAATACATAAGAAATAAAATTGAATACAAGATATAGGCGTTTGGTTTGCTGATTATGAATATGAAGTCAAATGTGTAAAATTATTTGTATAAATAATAAAATGTTTAAACAAAACATGTAAAAAGTTGAAAAAAATTATTTATACAAATAATTTTTCGGTTTGGCCGAGATTCGAATCATTTTTTACTAATTTAGCACAGATTTAAAATATTTCGGTTAAAATCTCGGCTAAAGAAATTTAGAATGGTTCGTGTCTTAGTTATGTTGATTTTATTAAAATTTTTATTAAAATTGCCGAATTCCTCTCAATTTGGCCGAGATTCGAACCGTTTTTGACTAATTTAGCACAGATTTAAAATATTTCGGTTGGAATCTCGGCTAAAGAAATTTAGAATGGTTCGTATCTCAGCTATGTCGATTTTGTTAGAATTATTTAACTATATCTTATATTCAATTTTATTTGTTATGCATTTTTGCTAATGATAGGAGTGAAAACATTAAAAAGCTATAAACTGCCAGTAAAACTTAAAGTGGGCCAAAATGAAAAAATATTTTTTGTACTTCTACATTTGTGCCAAATTATAAAAAAATCTGAGTTAGGTTTACTCGTAAGATAGGTGAATAACCAAAGACTGCGGTATCGTTTCGTACTTAATCATACAGATGACAGAGACAGAATATCTGTCTAAACTATTTGTGAAATTTAATACAACAAAAATTGGCGTTCATATCTAGATTAAGACTAGTTACATTTCTTATAAAAGGAATTGTGGTAGGCCAAAAAGACACTAGCGAAACAAATGTATA